TGTCATGAGACTAATGTTCTAAAAGGATTAGTAAGCAGTGAGGCCGAGTATCATGAAGATGTGAGTAAGCAGTTGAGGGTCGAGAAAGCAGTGAGGGCGAGTATTATGAGGGATGAGTAAGCAGTGAAGGAGGGAGTGAGGGCATGTTGACATAGTACCAGCGTCGGAATGATCGCTGGTGACGTCCACATCCCTGGGTCGCCTCCCCCGCCACTTCCGTCTTACCACACATCTCCGGTATCCTGTGTCTTCTTCAGGCACGTCCAGAGGGCCCCGCGTGCCTCCTACATGACACTGAAACTTCAACACCAGGCCAACGGAAGCCTCAGCACCTCCCTGTGGGTCATCAGGCCAGGTGGTGAGGAACGTTCATGTTATTGGCCAAGTTGAGAGCCATGCCAAGAGGAGGGCAGACTGCTGCCCAGCAGGCCATGTGGGGATCACAGGATATGAGACAAAGCGAAGCCCTACTCCAGCAGCCTTTGTTTCCAGATGACTATCGATGCGCAGTAGAACATGATCCTGGCACCGACCACCTCCTCCTTCTCTCTCTCACTCCTCTTTGTTGACAGAGGCGAAGACTTGCTTTGTGCTCTGGAATTAGTTAAGGGTTGGTTTATTGTTCTGATATATTAAGAGTGTGGAGGGCAGGAAGGTGTCACGAAGGTGCGTTGTGCCACGTGTGTATGTCCGGCCAGGCAGGTGAGCACCAACGGCCGCGCCCTGTTCTCGCCCGCTGACTTGACTTGGATGCTTTTCAAGATATCTTCCCAGCTGCCTTCGCTTGTCCTGCCATAAATGTTAACGACATTCACATTTTTTTGCATTGTGTATCAAAATATAACATATTTTGAATATATGGTATTAAGTAAATGCATATATCTTTAAAAGTCCATGTAAAATAATGACACAGTATTTGCGAGTGATATCATAAAGTTGTATAAATTCGACATCAGCCACCCTAACGTGTTTCATAGATTAAGAAAAACACATCTTGTTCATCTAGCTTATGTTTGGTGTTGACTGTATATTTTGTTAACTCCACGAAGGAAAGATTTAAGAGTGTATTCAAAGACCACGGGTTTGGGTGAAGTCATCTGGGTGGTAGTGAGAGTAGCCGGGGCGGGCGAGTATCCCTCTCATGCCCGCAGGCCAGGACGCGTCCCCCTCCCCCCTCCCGCGCGCCTCGGGAAGCCATACGCTCTTCCTTAACCTTCGATCATCTCCACATTTTTCGTTCACTGTGTTAAACGTTAAACAGCATAAGCATCTACTAGTTCCTTCTAGAACGATTATTGACATGATATACGTGATACTCGAGTTAAGTCAAATATATAATGTGGTTATATGGTTATAGTGTGAGGGTGTTGGGCGGGTGTTTGGGGGTGTGAAGTGTGGTGATTGTGGGCGGTGTGGGTTGGTTGGTGGGCGGGCAGGACCAGTGCCATGCGTGGCTGCGTGTGCCACCCGCCGCCCTCACTCACACCACGATCACCACTTCTCCTGCAAACACCTCCCTGGTCAGTTCCTTCCAACACATCCTTCAAGTTCAGTTTACTAAGTGTAGTTGTGGTGTATGAGTGTCGGTGTGTACAGGGTGTGGTGGGCGGCAACACCTAGTGACTGTAGGGTGTGGTGAACGTTGCTGTGGTAGACATTATTGGAACCTAGACTTTTGTTTGTGGACACCGGGACCACCACAGCGTCTCAGGTAATTGTGGTTGGGTTTAAATTAATAGACAGAGGTGACTTGTCTGTTTTGTCTCACACAGTTGTAGGAATGAGTGTCGTGAATAGTGTGAAGACTTAGTGACATTAGTAAGAACGAGGAGGAGGCAGTTAGAGGTGTCAGTTCCAGTGACTCGCCATCACCAACAGTTCCAGGTGATTGTTGCCACAGCCGCTGGAAACAAGGACTTAAAACTTAACCACAGTTTTACCGGCGGTTGAGCCAAGGACACCGCCTCAACGAACTATGTAATGAACGACTGGTGTGTGGTAGTAACAGTTGATGTAAAAATTAGTATGAGATTGTTTTATTTAAAGAAGAATGAAGATTTTATTAAGGTGATGTTGGTGCCGTGTGAGGGCCAGGTGGTGGCGGGGGTTGTGGTGGCGTGACTCAGGACATGCTACAAGAAACACTTTGTAAGGTGATGGTGGTGGGTGCCTGCCTGGTGGAGGGCCAGTTGAGAATTATATTGTGGCACAAAAAATACAAATTTGGCGGTAAAGGTTGACCCTGGGCTGATGGTGGTGTGAGTCAGGGCTGGTCACCACAACACAACACCTTTGTTCTATCCTGGATGAGGTGTTTATTAGGTTGTCTGGAAATACTAAACACATCAAACTGTGTGGCTGACAGAGGCTTTCTTGAGTGGTGTGTCTGTGAGTGATTACAAGGTGTTGTGCTACCTGTTGATTATGGCTGTAAGATGCTCACCTGTGTGTGACTATAGTAACACTATCACAGGGACTCACCATTAAGTGTTCAGCTCTATTTTGATGGGTGGATTCTGCAGAAAACCCTTCAGTCTGGTCTAAATTTTGGCAAGGTCTTGTGACTCCCATTTATGATGACATGTACTGTGTTTTGTGTATATTAACGGGAGTGTGAAGTTTACCAAAGGCACCAAATAATTCAGTACATTTGGGAGTTTATTTTTAGAACATTTATTTCATGGATAATTTAGTTTGGACTTTCAATAACACACCTTGATTAGTATTACCTGTCTTAGGTTGAATGGGTTGGGATTTGAAACAGGAATGGCAGGTACAGTATCTCATGTAGTGGCAAGATAGTTTACATAACAGAAGTAAATGCAGTCAAGTAATCTTTAAAACAATCACCAACTTATTTCATGATTTAGCAGGAATGGACCACTGAGCACTAAATTTAAGGTTAGGTTTGGGCGGAAGTATTCAGGGTCTTCTTGTGGCTATGTCAGACATGCAGTATTGTACAGTATACCTCAGTGATGATTTTTTAGAATCTACTCGGAGCAATCTTACTGCTGTGATGTCTGGAAGTTGCTCCTGTGTCATCTGTCCTTGGGTGAATAGACAAAACTTGTTGCTGAACTACATTTGATTTATAGCATGAGTGATACCTCACACTGCATAGTGTTGCCAAACTTTATCCTGTAAATTGCATAACCAGACAGAAGTGAAGTTTGATGATTCTTGTTCATTTGGTGAAGGTGTCAAGGCTACAGCATACTTAACCTTTCCTCAGTTTGGCAAATTATTTTTTTCTCTGGTTTAACATAGGATCCATTAGCTGGAATTATAGCACATTCACATAACTAATTCTTTATTTTATGAACAAAAACTAGAACTGGTGTTAGTGGTGTGCATGTTTTGAAATACAGTACAGTACCCTGTAGTAGATTTTAACTAGGAGTGACCACTACTGAGCGCCACGTCTAATGTTGTGCATTATTATTATTATTATTGTTATTTATTTTTTATTTTTTGTAATTTTATCGGCTTGCTAACCGTTTGGACGGTTAGTCTATCCAGTGTTAGTACAGGAGGAAACCTGACTCTGGAAAACCTGTGATGTTTGGTAGTGAGGGTCACACTGGATAACACCCTTCTGACGTGTGTCTGGGCCAAGCAGGATATGAACCCTTGACATGGTGGTGGTGAAATACGTGCATTACTGCTGTACCACCAACACTTGCTTTGGTTAAAGCATGATTTTGTTTTATACAATACATAGGCTTACTGGTAGCAACTTCTTTAGTACTGTGCTGGTCATCATCTTATGAGAGCTAATGTCTTTCCAGAAAATTCTCAGTTTTTGGTGTTAGTTAAGGTTTTGTCAATACTTTTGTGCTTTATATTTGATGGCAAACCTTTCAGTATTCATCTGGGATCATCAGGTGCTGTTGATCATGTCATGAATGGTGTTACACTTGTTTAGAAATGTGGAGGTGTACAGTAATTGGGTCTTCTGCCAGTCCTCTTCAGTGTAGTGTTAGGTTAATGATTTTGTGAACTGTAGATTGTGTTAAATGGTTTTGTCAACTTGTACAAGGTGAAGGAAGCCTTCATGTCAATTATTGCTTATCATCTTCAGTTCAGAGCTGGTCTGACAAGAGCTGTGCAGGCAAAAACTGGACTATACTGTACTTCTGACAGATAGTGTACAGTGATGTGGTCTGAATTCTCTCTAATGGATTTGTAAGACTGAAATTGTCTGGAACTGACCTTATACTGTACAATACTGGAAATAATAACTTCGTCTCATGCAGTTTATATATATATATATATATATATATATATATATATATATATATATATATATATATATATATATATATATATATGTATGTATGTATACACACACACACACATATACATACAGCTACGACCTACGACCACTTGGACATACGACTGCCTCAGTCGTACCAAAATTTTGTCAAATTATGTATTTTCGAGTCCCAACGTCAGTGATTGCGCTGTGTACTGACAAAATTTTCGTTTGTAATTCACTTTAAAATGGCTGGCAAGTTTAAAAGTGGGAGTTTTGTGGTGCTGAGAAGAAAAAGAGACCCATTTAAAGATTTTCTATGTATTATTTAAGCATTTTCGACTTACGACCATTTCGACTTACAACCTGGATTTGGGTCCCTAACCCCGTCGTAAGTCGGGGTGCAGCTGTATATATAAAAGCGATAATATAATTTTTTACATTCATAAATTTTGAAGCGTAATCCCGAAAGGAAGTTCCTTGCTATTGTCATCCTGGAATCTGAATTCATGTTCAGATATAATTTGCACTAAAAGTACTGTAGGTGTGTAAACTCATGCGTTCACCCATTATGAGGTTCTGTTGGTACAACGGTAATGTAGTTGCCTCTCACTACTGCGTCTTGGGTGTGATTCACCTTTGTGTTGTTGACTGAAATTATCTTTTAGCATTCATGTTTTTGAATTATTAATTGTGAACTGAAAATGCTATATTTATTAAAGGCAATCTATTTTTATTACAGATTATGTGGTGAGGGTTGAGGAAAGATGGATCCTGGGCAACAGTTTTGCTTGCGTTGGAATAATTACCAATCAACACTACAACATGTGTTTTACAAGTTATGGATGGCTGGAACGTTTGTGGATGTTAGCCTGGTAGTAGAAGGTCGAAGGTTGGACTGTCATAAAGTGGTGCTGTCGGCATGTTCGTCATACTTCGAACACATCCTGCGGGATCACAGCAGCCATCCGCATCCTTTAATTCTGCTGCACGATCTACCCTACGCGGCTGTGGAGGCTCTTGTCATGTTTATGTACAGGGGAGAGGTTAATGTGACACAGGAACAGCTGGCAGCTCTTCTAAAAGTTGCAGAAACACTCAGGGTAAAGGGGCTGGCAGATTCAGCAGCCATCAGCAGCTTCACCAAACGTCAGCTGCTGGAACGGTGCATCCCTCTCCTGGAACACGCCCCTTGTAATATCCAAGTGCCTAACACATTACCTGTACCCAACACACTGGGGGCAATAACAGTGCCAACCACAGCTATTGTCCAGCCCAGAATGACGACCAGTAGAGGTGGTCTAAACACTGGAAGAATAGGTTCAGGAATGGTGAAGCATCTACCTACCACCAAGAAGGTGGAGGGAAGCAACACGAGTCCCGGTCCGCAGAGGAAACGACCCAGACACGACGACCACGCGACCTCCATGCCACTGACACCTCCCGCCTCCCTAAACGACACTCCGCCAAATGACACATCTCAACCCTCACCCGCAGTCACAACCATACCACCAGAGGTAAGGACGAGACACAGAGAACACCTGGCTCTGTCATCCTCAATCTGTTCCCACCTGAGAGTGAGATATATGTTGACAAACCTCATAAGCTAACATGATTTATTCTTAAGTCTCAAGAATCCATCAAAAGTATCAACATCACTCATTAAGCTGATAACTTTGTCATTAGTTCTACCTTCTCTCGTGTTTTTATTGCTTACCGAGTTAACGTAAAAGACACTTGCCTGATGGTAATGTTTCATTGCAGACATTTAAACAAGAAGCTGCTGATGAAACAGACGGAGAGCTTCAGATAGATGAGTCCGCTGGCCAGTCACCCGTGAACTCTGCAGAATGTGATTCAAATTCTATAGGTACTGTATTGTTGTTGTTATAGTTCGTGTTGTTCTATTTATAGTGCAGTAATTATGTGTTTCCAGTCACCTGTTAATTTGACAAATACACAAGCAGACCTCTTCATCCTGGACAAGATACGTTCCTGAGGGCTCCATAAGTGATTTTTTAACCCGTTTTAAGAGGTCGTTGTAACATGGGGCCTGTAGAGACGTGTTCCTGGCAGTGTGAGTTATTATCCTCCAGATGCTACCGGAAAGGACAGCTGCCTTAGTTGATAGTAATGGCTCTGTAGATGTAGCTGTGACATTTTATACATAAAATGAAGAACATGAATAAAACATGCAACTAAATTTAACCTACATTCACCAGTCAATTTTGTTGAGGTATTTTAACCCCTTGAGTATGATGACAACCCCTTGAGTATGATGGCAATCCCTTGAGTATGATGATAACCCCTTGAGTATGATGGCAACCCCTTGAGTATGATGGCAACCCCTTGAGGAAGATAGCAACCCCTTGAGTACGATGGCAATCCCATGAGTACGATGGCAACCCCTTGAGTATGGTGCTCTTAACCCTTTGAGTTGCAAGATGACACTGTACTCAATGAGTCATACTTATTGAGCTAATTCATTGTACTCAAAGGATGAAGATATATAAAGAAACATAATTAATACACTCAAAGCGCTAAGTCACTGCTCTCAATGGGGTTAATGGTAGACTAAGCTAAGCCAAGTGACCAGTCCACATCTGGCTGACTCACCTGCCTCAAGACTTCTTTATCACAACTATACTAATGACTTTCCTGGTCACTTTGGCTACTTTACCAACACTCACTCACAGGCCATTGTTTATGTACGATGGGTCTAAAATTTTGGCTTAAAACGTGCAGAAGAACGCAAAGACAACTGGCAAGAGTTAGTGGGCCGAGCGTATTTATTTCACGAGCGCTTATTTGCATTAAAGGATATAAAAAAGATGGCAGCAGACGTGTTCATGGGTTTTTTAGATGGCAGCAGACGTGTTCATGGGTTCTTTTAGATGGCAGCAGACGTGTTCATGGGTTCTTTTAGATGGCAGCAGACGTGTTCATGGGTTCTTTTAGATGGCAGCAGACGTGTTCATGGGTTCTTTTAGATGGCAGCAGACGTGTTCATGGGTTTTTTAGATGGCAGCAGACGTGTTCATAGATTCTTTAACGTCTGATGCAATTTTTTTCATACCCATAAGGAGGAAATACATTAGACGAGTCTCCGTTATATGAGGTCGTGTTGTGTATTGTTGTGTAGAGGTGACAGAGACGACATGGGTTCTTTTAGATGGCAGCAGACGTGTTCATGGGTTCTTTTAGATGGCAGCAGACGTGTTCATGGGTTTTTTAGATGGCAGCAGACGTGTTCATAGATTCTTTAACGTCTGATGCAATTTTTTTCATACCCATAAGGAGGAAATACATTAGACGAGTCTCCGTTATATGAGGTCGTGTTGTGTATTGTTGTGTAGAGGTGACAGAGACGACACTTCTCTTTAACGTGGATGGAACATACAGTACAGGAGGATCAGTAACATTGAGGTCAACAACTGGGTGGGTACACGAGGTTGACAGACACCAGGAAAAAACAGCATGTATAGTTTTAAATAAGACAAGGTAAGAGATATTTATTTTCTTCAGTATGACAACAACTCAGACCAGACATCAATAATCTTACTTGGAAGCATCAGTGTGTGTGTCTCATAATGAACAAATGCACTCAATAATTTTCAGTTGTGCAAATTTGAAATATTATATTTATTCTTTGTTTCACTTCCACACCCACATTAATTTTTTAACCTGGATGTCTTACAAGAGGTGAGGTTGTACATGAACTGAATTTGGAAGAGGCCATTGAGTGTTCTTCCTCTCCTCCCTCACATGATAACTCTCTTTGAATTGACTATTGATGGAGCCCAGCTGTGGTACTGAGCGTCACAGGAGAGGTTACAGGCTTCCCATGATGATCGTCTCGGTACAGGGATCACCTGAAAAATACCCTCCCTAGCTTATTTCACCTGAAGATTAACCACCCTAATGCTAACCTAACTCAACCTCATCCCCCCAAATAGTGTTAGGGTGGGTAATGTTCAGGTGAAATAAGCTGGTATAAAGATTTTAAAAGTGAACCCAATGTATACAGTGGTAATGAAATAAACAGTAGTACTTGATGTCACAGTCGTCTGATAGTGGCCATCAATAATTGCCAGAAGTGGATGTGATGTTAGTAGTCTCAGTGGACAACACAATGAATCTCAACCACCAGCCAGAACTTATGATGACTCACTTGTTGTGGATATATATATATATATATATATATATATATATATATATATATATATATATATATATATATATATATATATATATATATATATATATATATATATATATATATATATATATATATATATAATATATATACAGTTAACCCTCACTTTGCGCGGTTAATGTAACCCGGAGGGTACCGCGGAAAGTGAGGAACGCGTAAAGTGAATAACATAACATATGGGATTAATTGAAATGGAGTCCGGGCCGATCCCCAAACTCCACTTTTTGACGACACACAACTATGTTGTAGTAAAAATTTTATCTTAACTTTATGATGGTATGAAAAAACAAGTAATATAGAAGAGGTTAGGTTAGGAAAGATAAAGGTTAACATAGGAAAAATAAAGGTAAGGTTAGAAAACTAAAAATTAGGTGTAACTTACGGTAGTAGAAGAGATGGGTCGGCATACGGGGATGGAGGCTGGTTCCGAGGCAGAGGGCAGATTACTGGCCCTCAGGTGAATCACCATTACTAGGTGAATCACCATCACTGTCACTTACAGTTGTCAGGGCTTCCCTGACAAATCCCTCAAAGTCATCTTCACTGCACTATCACTGGCTTGGGCTGGCTGTGGTGGGTTGCGGGCGAAGAAATCTGTTATGCTTTGCTGACGGCTGGCGTTGATGTTGTCGTGATACACCTTGATGTACGGCTCCATAGCCTGCACCAGCCGGGTATGGAAGACTTCATAGCGGTCATCGTCATTGTCGCGGGAAAGGAAGGACTTCATCTTCTCTGCACACTCCATGGCACCCTTAATATCACTATGACTTAAATTGTGTTCTTCGGAGACTGACGCACCTTCTTCCTCCTCTTCACTGACGTGTTCTTCTTCCAACATCTCGTCGGCAGTCACTTCAGGATCTCTGATCACCTCCAGGATGTCGTCGTTGGTGGTCTCGGAGAAGCCTGGAACTGTAACAGTCTGCGCAGCTTCTCTGGCAAGGTCCACTACTACTGCAACATTCTGAACCTCACCAGTCACAGATTGACTCCTCCTCTCACCTGGTATTCCATGCAACACATGTCTCCATGCGTGACGAATTGTAGCAATAGACAGCTGATCCCATGACTCCACCAAGAAGTCCACAGCTTTCTTGATGTTAAATACTCTCCAGAATTGTTTGAAGAGTATTTTTTGCTGTTCTAACTGTTGATCCTCATCTTCTTCGCTCTTGCTATCGGTGGTGGTGTCACTCAGGTTACGCAACTCTTCCCTGGTGTTGGTGTAGTCGTTCAGGAGCTGGAATTTTTTTGTTGAGAATGCAGCTTTCACATTGCAAATCAACTCCTGGTCCATGGGCTGGATTAAAGACGTAGTGTTGGGAGGAAGGAAGACCACTTTTACGTTGGGGTGACGATCTAACAGTAGGGGCGAGTGTCCTGGTGCGTTGTCCAGCAGCAACAAAATATTAAATGGGACATTCTGTCGCTCACAGAATTTCTTTACATCGGGAACAAAACAGTCATCAAACCAGGAGAGGGACAGTGTAGAGAACATCCATGCCTTACGTGCGGTCAGCCAGTGGACATTTAGCTTGGTCATGTCCATGCTCTTGTAGGCGTGCGGCTTGCGGGCTGTGTGGATCACCGATAACTTGAGCTTACAGGTACCGGAGGCATTGGTGGTAAACAGGACGGTGATGCGTTCCTTCTGCATTTTCCGGCCCCGAATCCTGCTGGCATTTTTCACAACGAAGGACTTGGAAGGTAGTTTTTTCCAGAAAAGACCAGATTCGTCCATGTTAAACACCTGGTCGTCACTGTACTGTCCTTCCTCCATAATCTCACGTAAAAACGGAGGAAATTCCCGAGCCGCAGCACGATCAGCACTCGCTTCTTCACCACCAATGTTTATATTGGTGATCTTGTTCCGGATCTTAAACCTCTGTAACCACCCAGAGGAAGCATTAAAGGGTTTGGGCTCTGAAGTTCCCATCTTTCGTGCCACTGCCATGTACAGTTCACGTGCGTAGTCCTTAACAGAGCGCGTGTCGACCGCCATGTTCCGTCGCGCCTGACGCACCAAGTACCTCACAAGTAATTTTTCTGTCTTGAGAAGCACCTGGTTGTGAAAATACTTGATCATAGAAGCACCTGTAGACTTTGTGATCTTCATGTGCTCCTTTATCTTGGCTGAATCCTTCTTTATAGTCCGGATCGTAGATTCGTTCACGCCATGCTGGCGCGCCAAATCAACCTGCCTTGTTCCTTTCTCCAACTCTTGGATGATGCTATACTTCACCTCGTAGCTTAAGGAACGTCGTGTCTTCTTTGGTTTAGTGCCGCTGGGTCCAGGTAAGGAAAGGTTTCTCTCTGGGGGTGGTGGTCCGGCGGAAGCCATTTTACGGAACAATGGATGCGCGTTTACACGGAGTGGCCTTGAGGGATGAAACTGCCGCGGCTAGGTCAAGCGTCGTCTTTCCTCCCTCCCTCCCTCCCCCGGGTGGACACGTCATAATACTTTAAGCCAATTACAGCTAGCAGCAGAGGGGGGTAGGGATGCATGGCCAATCACAGGTCTGATACGTCATATGACGTCAGTGATAACGCAACAAAGACACACACTGCGCAACCTTACTGCGCCGCTTGCCCAAGCGGAGGGAGAGGCAGGCAGGCAGGCGGGCGGGTGGGGCGAATCTAAAAATAGCGTCGCACCGAACACTCTCCGCGTAATGGGGTTCACGTACCGCGTAATGTGAGCACGTGAGGTTCTGGCAAGGCACCGCGTTAACGTGGAAACGCGGAATGCGGGACCGCGTAGATTGAGGGTTAACTGTGTATATATATATACATATATATATATATATATATATATATATATATATATATATATACATATATATATATATATATATATATATATATATATATATATATATATATATATATATATATATATATATATATATATATATATATATATATATATATATATATATATATATATATATATACAGTAAACTGATTTAACATTTAATGCACTGCAGTTGTTTTGTTTCTAGACTTTCTTCACTACTTTAACATGAAACTCTCAGTCATGTCCGGTCTTTTACTCACAGCAAGTGGTGTTACAAAGCTCCTCCTGTAGTTGCTGACCATCCACACACAGTCTTACAAATGACCTTCACTTTGTCTTCTGGACCCTTAACCATTTGGGTCTCTCTCTACTGAATAAAATCACATGGCATTAACCAAATAAAATAATAAAATTGGCATTCCATAGTGAAGAGGTTAAGGCCAAATTCTGCCTCCTGTCTAAGTGCCATTTTAGTGCCTGTGTGTTTCATGTTATTGGGCAACATTGATCACATGGCATACTTCTAATGGCCCCAGCACATGTTAGGATACACATTAAGTGGCTCTCACCTGCTAAAGGTCACAATTCCCTCCTCTAAACTAAATATTTTCTTTATTTTAAAATCTTTGATTTGCCACCAGCTTTATGAGTTTCAGAGTTAAGGTCTTCCAAGAATTTTTCACGGTAGTTCTTGAACTGTGGAATGTTTAGAAGTTGCCCCTGACCCTAAAAGTCATGGTGCATTTCTGTTCAATAATTTTCACCTTTTCCTTTTTGCTTACTTCCATCATCTCACTCATTATCTTGAAGGCTTTTCCAGTATTTAACTTATAGTTTCAAAAGTTGTAACTTAATGAGACAGACGCACAGTTGATTACATCAGTATTGAGGAAAACTTACTTCATTTGTGTTTGTCATAAATATTGGAACACGTTTGGTTGAGTGTGCGCGAATTCCTGTAAAATTTGTAATGGAGACCATTGTTATTGGAAGACTGCTGGGAGATGCTGCTCATAATACAGTTCTCTAATAATTGTTCACTCAAAATAAGTTATATCATGATGGAAGTTTTAGTTATGTCAGTTTGGCTATCTTCATTGTTGAGCTTTTTCAAAGACGTAGATGCTTGTTAACTTAAAGGTTTCTGTCAGGAAGAAAGTTGCGAGGGAGACATGAATCTTGTATTTTATTAACAGGTCCTGAGGGCGAGGCTGAAGGTGAGGGAGAGGAATCTCTTCAGTGTGTGTCACATGATGTACAGTCAAGAATGCAACAAGATATACCGTCCACCATTACATCAGACATCAAGCCCTTTGCACAAGAAGTCCGTGACTCTTCTCAACCCTTTCAGCAAATTCATCAGGCCTCCGTGGATAGTTTATCAACCAAGGAGCGAAGTGGCAGCCTTGGTGGAAAGTCTTGTGAGAGAACATATACACACTTGGACCTTGAGGAAGGCATTGAAGCCGTCCTCTTGGGTCAACTAACCCCGGCCAAAGCCATAGCACAATATCGTATCCCCCGCAGGACTTTCTTCCGGAGGCTTTCCGCCGTACGCAAGAGCCGAGGAATTCCGTCCGCCAAGGAAAATGCCGCCGATCACTTTTTAAATGCCACCACTACGGTCGGCGATGCGACCACTCACTTGATACTCCCCGTTGCCGACTCTGACTCTTATGCCGCCACTTTTAAGATCAAATCAGAAAAGCCGGTCCTGATCGCTCCAAAAGATGGGAAAAAAAGCAAAAAAGGTGATGGGGTGATGGCTCCTAACAACAGCTACATCTCCTTACTCAACTTGGCAGCAACAAATAACTACGATGCTTACCTTAACTACCTTAAGCTCGTCACACAACAGGGCGACAACGCCAATCCAGAGGAGGTTCTCGGGGCATTACGAAAAGGACAGGTAAAGGAAGTAAAGCCGGCCGTGGATGATAACAGAAATGTGTCCGAGGCGGCCCTGGCTCTCGTTGCTCACAACGTGTCGGCAGACTAGCTCCCCCTACACGACAAGTGGATGACTCATCGGTTGATCAAAGTGCGAGGGAAAGAACTTCCTCCTTGGGCTTCAGTTAGAGTCCAGTGCCAACTGCAACTAACCATTCCATTCAACATTCCAGTAGGTTTAAGGCTATTTGTATGTAATGTACTTATATTTAAATGGATGGGGACATAGTTGATATCCTTCAGCCAAAGCAAATCTCCCTGATTTTGATACTGCATATTTTTTATGCTAGATAAACAATCTCAGTATTACCTGCTTTCATCTCAAAATATAAGAAAAATTTATTATTAAGAGTACCAACAATCTATTATGATTCTGGATAAATTTCACACAAAATTAAAGACTATTATATGAAGGCTCTGGCCACTAAAAATCCTTCCCGTAAGGTTAAATGCACAAGATTTATATATTTTTGTCGGTCGGTCTTACATTATGATAATTGGTGGTTTATATAGATATGATAATATCAACCTGATTGAACAAAGTTACATGATATTGCCATTTTAAATGTGGGAGGGTTTAAGCATTCTTTTATTTTATTTATTTTATCAACATTGAAGTCTCAAAAGCTGTGATAACATTTGGTACTTATTACTAATAATCATACTCAGTTTGCACATTTTGGCCTTCTCAAGTTGCTCTCTGCTTCTCTTACCTGTAGCCTACCACTGATGGCTCTCTCCGGACACTTGTTATGGTAGTCAGTATTGTAGGAGTCTACTCTACTTGACTACTCAACTCTATTTGCTTTTCTATTTATTTTTCATTCAAGTGGTGATGGACTTAATGTATATAAGTTTCTTAATGGAAGGCAGTTCTGGTTTACTATCTTCTAATCTTCATAGTAATAATACGATGGCTTGTGTACTTCTTGGGGAGTTTCTGGGTGTCTTTCTTCACTCCGGGTCTGTCAGAGGACTCGCGCTTGGGGTTTTCTATTTAATTATTAAAAAGGTGCTTCCAGACTGGGTTCCAGTCCTTGTTGAACTAAGAACTGTCTTAAAGCTCTTTGTCTTGGTTGTGGGTCTCACCTGTACCTGTAGTTGCTCAGCTATCCTTAGATGTAGACAACTAGTGTAACAGTTAGCATTTTGCAGGCATTGTTGGTCAGTGATTACTGTGTCCTATTGATATTTCACGCTGCTGTCGGTGACGTGTGTGACAGTCGGGTTAGTGCCTCAAATTTTGGGTTAAACTTCTCAGTGTAACTTACCCTCCTGACCACTGTGTGCCTCTATTATATGAGCTGTGTGAAGCTCTTGTTCCTATAGTTAATATTATTAAAGTCATTTTTATGTACTGTAATATCCAAGGTACTGTACTGTACAACACTGCTGGTGTGGCCATTACTTACAGCTCTGACCCAGGGAGTATGACATTGGTTTTGTGACCTAAGAGCTGTGACCCAAGGGCTGTGTCATCGCTCTTGTGACCCACGGGTTGTGTCACAGCTGTGACCCAAGGACTGTGCCACAGCTGTGACCCAAGGACTGTGTCATAGCTGTGACCCAAGGACTGTGTCATAGCTCTGTGCCTCATGGGCTGTGTCATAGCTCTGTGCCTCATGGGCTGTGTCATAGCTCTGTGTCTCATGGGCTGTGCCATAGCTCTGTGTGTCATAGCTCTGTGCCTCATGGGCTGTGTCATAGCTCTGTGTCTCATGGGCTGTGTCATAGCTCTGTGTCTCATGGGCTGTGTCATAGGTCTGTGTCTCATGGGCTGTGTCATAGCTCTGTCTCATGGGCTGTGTCATAGCTCTGTGTCTCATGGGCTGTGTCATAGCTCTGTGCCTCATGGGCTGTGTCATAGTTAGGGGAACTGGCAGCTGTGATCCTATATTTCTTCATTCAAGACAGTGTGATGATGCAACTTGATATGGCTGTGATGAATGCATTCAAAATGCTCCATCTCCTGTTCTTTACATGTATTGCTTAGGAAATTTGACGAGTCATTTTCAAATACTAGTTGTGTAGTTGATAGTACCATCGTGTCTTAAGATAGCCACCTTCTGATAGTTAGCCAGTACTGTACTATCAACCTGTAGGGTGATTGTCACATGAATAATATTAATATCTGGAGAATAATGTCAGTTCTACAATATCACAGCACAATGGCTGCATATGTAACAGATATTAATGTTAGTGTTTTAGATGACCTTTACAGGTTGTTACAACTGGAGAGTAAGAAGTGTTGGCCGTGCAAGTACTGTGGCCAGCAGTTATCCCCTTGCTCATCTATGAGGTCCACTCATTAGGTAACAAAATGGCAGCTTTTTTGAGGAAGTGCAAATAACCTCTCATTTTATGTATTAAAAGAATGGCATTACTAAGTTAAGTTACAGGTTAGCGATCTCATGTATTTACATTTTATGCCTAAGAGTACTGTGTGTTAGTGGCATCTGTCTATTGCTTAGCACTATCTTGGTACTGTACCTGTTAATAGCTGGTGGCCATATGTATTGCTAGTTGTCAGTTGTAATTATTATTTTCTGTGTCATTTTTGGGCTGCCAGCTATGTCTGAAAAAATGCAATGTGTATGTTTTGTGCATGTCTTACAAAGGGGCATTGAAAGTTACTGCAATGATATTTGTTTTTATCTTTATTTTTTATTTATTTTTTTGGTAAGTAATATGTCGTGCAGATGTGAACTTCCTGTGCTAAGTTTGCTGCACTGGTCCCTCTCCTGCCTGCCTGGCCGGGATAGTCTTACCCAGAAAACGTGAACCTTTGCTTTGTGTCTGCAAGCGTCAGTATCTCGTGTCATTAAATTAGGAATTAATATGTATTATATTTTGCTTTGTTGCTCTCAGTTGAAAATATTATGATCTGATGTGTACTGTACTTAGAAGATCTGATGAAAACTGTGATAAGAGGTATAGCTTTTCTACGCTTCAACACATTCCATGTTATCCTTTGGGAGAAACAAAATGCACCATTCCACACACCCTGTGATAATACTGTGTCTTGTATTGTATCTGGCATATCCCTACAATTACTATTAGTCTCCTCCCCGAGTCTGACCACTGCAGCAGTCAACAGGTCGGGGGAATTAAGAAGAAAAATATTCTTGACAAAAAATCTATAAGTATATATTTAAATGTATAAGTAGAATTCCCTTGATTTTACACTCCAGATATTGTAAGGCTGTGACAGTGATCAACAGGGGACAAAATGTATGATGTAAAGTTCTCTAAAATATTTTGCCAGAGATGAAGTACTTCCATGTGTCACAGGGAGGATCTGTAGACTCCTAATCTATTGGATCTCTTGTATTTTTCTACAAGTTTCTGAATAAGATTTTTCATTAAAATATTTCACTTTTTTATTTACCCTAATATCACAGAGTAAAGTATTATAAGGATGTTATTAACCCCCATATGAATGGGTCTTTTCTGTGCTGATTAATATCTGGTATTGACCAAATATTAAAAGTGGCATCCATGTTGTGAAGGGGTTAATGTGAAACGATGAGATCATTTTCAATATACTGAAGTATAAAAATAGAAACGCTGTACTGTAGTGTTGTGTTTGATTGTGACTGAAAGGTGAACTCTGCAATATGTTCCAAGTCTACTTTTATTATGGGACTAATTTTATTGTTGAAATTTAGTCCTGGTTTTAAACAGACGGTAAATACTAAAGTCAAAGAACTGTTGGCGTGCCTGGTGAGCTTGAGGTATGTGGTCCACCTCTTAGGTTATAATCCGTAGTGAAAATTAAACCGGTAAAGATGAAGGGAAATGTTGGATGCTGTTGGGATTGGTATCACTGCTATGACTTGCTGTCCAAAGTTCACAGTTACTAATTTAAAACCTGAAAAGCCTTAGATATGTGGCAGAACTGTACCTTGAAGTGACAAGTTTTTTTATATGTATACACAGATGACCTGAAGAAAGGTTCAGTATATTTTTATCGTGGGGTTGTCAAACTAATTTGTTTCCTAAACCGTATCTAGTAGTAGTCTAATGTGCTCATCCTTTCGATATTGGTCACATCTACAGCTCTTATGTGAGGAAGTACTAAGACCTCATGACAGTAACACCAGATGTCATGGCTCTATGCTGCTCAAGACAGCTACACAACAGATGTTTTGTGGATTTATAGCACAACTTACCAGAGCAGGTGGCCATATCTCCAAAGGTGTAAAAGAATTGGACAAACATTGGACAGGGCAATATTGTCCTCCAGAGTACTACAAAGGTAAACGGATTAATCTAGTAATTCTACAATAAAATTAGAAAGAATTTTCCAGGTTTTATGAAGTTGTGATTAACAAAATAAGTACTATTTATAATACAGGGGTACTTAATAATAATGTAATAACCGTACAGTATAAGCATTATGACAAGGATTCCCAGATGGAATTTTGAAACTATATTATGCAGCTGTGTACATAAATTAAGGAAACAAATGTAATCTTATAACACATCATACATCACTAATTTACTGGAAGGGAAACTATGCTGTTTCAAAATAATTAATTTATGGATTGTATCTTAAATGTGTTGACGTCTCTTTAGTAGTTTGGAGTTCTCAAATGCAGTTATGGAACTAAGATGAAATGTAAACATCATGCAAGCAACTGTTGTCTGAGACTCAGAATATGTAACATTTACTGTCCATTGTTCAATTTTAATGTACCTATATTTACATGCCATACCTGGAAATGCCTCTGCAGCACAATTTTAATGAGACTTTGGAAATCTGAACTGATCTTGTGCGTGGTGTTGACTCCTAGCTATTCTGATAGACGGGGAGAACACCAGATCAAAGGGATCAGGGTGAGAGGTACCTACAGGCTGGCTGCCTCTATGGTCACCGGCTGCCACGGTATCTTTATTATCTTGCCCAGAGCGGCGTATCAGACCACGGTGGCCGCCGGGGACGATGCCAACGTTAGGAGCCAAAGAACGTGGAAATTTCACTGTGGGAGACTGAGCTTGGAAACGACTGTTGGAGGGCAGCGACTCCAGCGCCTGCAGCAGAAGGATCAGTTCGTCGTCGTCGTTACTGTCGTGTTTGGGAGTGATGTAGTTTTTGGAGGCTCTGTCTAGTCCTTGTAGGCGTTGAGGTCTGGAGTTTCCATGTTCCAGGTTATCCTCACCTAGAAAACTTGCTAATTTGATTAACTCTGCCAACTCTTGCTGATCAGCTCTCCGTGCTGAAAATGGTTTGACGCCCAAGCCCCCAGGAAGCTGATTTCCCAGACCATTGTTAAGCTGCCCACTAAGCCTGCCCAACCCATTGAGTTCACCTGTGGCACCTAAAAGTCCTTGTCCTCTGAGACCTTGTTGCTGGATGCCAGGATATCCTTGCCCCAGGTCTTGTAACTGAGCTTCTGGAAATCCAAGACCCCGTATCTGGCTGCCTGAAAATCCTTGGCCAAGGCCCTGCAACTGGGAAGCTGTAAGTCCTTGTCTTCTCAGACCTTGTAGTTGTGTGTCTGGGAATCCCTGCCTCGCCAGGGTTTGTAGAAGAGGCTGTTGCAATCCTTGTGCTCCTCCTAGGCCCTGTACCCCACCAGCAAAGGGCTGCTGTAGGCGCGAAAGAAGGGGGTTCTGTCCCAACAATGTCAGCTGTTGGAGGGGGTTTTGGCCTGACAATGCCAGCTGTTGGAGGGGGTATTGGCCTGAAAATGCCAGCTGTTGGAGGGGGTTTTGACCCGATAATGCCAGCTGTTGGAGGGGGTATTGTCCTGACAATGCCAGCTGTTGGAGGGGGTTTTGGCCTGAAAATGCCAGCTGTTGGAGGGGGTTTTGACCCGATAATTCCAGCTGTTGGAGGGGGTTCTGTCCCGACAATGCCAGCTGTTGGAAAGGGTTTTGACCTGATAATGCCAGCTGTTGGAGGGAGTTTTGACCCGATAATGCCAGCTGTTGGAGTGGTGAGACTAGTAGACCCAGAGCTGGATCAGCAAAGCCTTGTCGGGACTCCAAGGTAGAATCTCTTGCCGTTTCCTGGGTTGACATCTGTTGGCATAAAATTAATATAATACAGTACTGTGTTTAACAATGCTGTTTAGTTTGATTAGCATGTGTGTGTGTGTGTGAATATTAGGCTTACTTACTAAAAACCCCTCGAGCCAAAATATTACAACTACAACAGTATTTTAGCACTAAGCATTTGGTTATTCGTCTCTTGGTACAGGTATCTGGACTTACCTCTGACTTGTAGTAGTCATCAACGTTGGATCTCCAAAATTTCTAACCATCTTCTGTGGTTAAAATACAGTAGTCAGATATGAACGAGTTACCTGATATACAATAATGTTGTGTCCAAGAAATAGACAAAACTGCTTCAGTGAGGGGCTGGTCGTATATCTGACAACATTTTATAATGAAATGAACTTGAAAAACTTTCTCACGTGGAATAACATTGCCAGTTAAGTCAGTCAGTCAATAAGGACGAGTGTTGGTGACCAACGAAGTGTACATTTGTTTTTTACTTCATAATATGCACTGTATATAAATGTTAATTCTGTTAAATTGGCATGGATAGCTTCCATTGAGTTTTTTAAGCAAGTACAGTACACGCCTGAACTTCGTTTTCTGCGTCTTTATATATACTGTACACATCAATATACAGTATACATATGTTATAACAGTATGATCAGTTTCAAGTATTGTATATCGATACAGCTTCTCAGGACCTTTTTGTACTTAATAACAAGAGCTTCTGGACAGCATCAATCACCTGGGCCAACCAACACCACATAGTACTGTAGTGGATACTCTTCCCTACCGTTGCTGTTGTCATTTTCAGAGATTGTAAAAATTCCTGATCTATTTTTTTAGAAACTTGGTCACGTGCTCCATTTAATAATAGCCTGGCTGATGAGCGCCCGATAATCCTTGCACACAACTTACACACTTTGACTGGGTGGAGTAGGCTGGTAATGGTGGGTGAGATGTCAGCCTTCAGGTAGACCATCATCTGTCAGTCAACAAATGGCGGCCAACTAGACTAGTTAAGCTGCATCAACTGAACCGTGGTAATTGTCCAACACCAAACGAAGGTCACAAGGTCAGCAGTGTGGCAGCAGACATAAAAATTTAAGTCGAAATGTAAACACTAATATAATTTACCGAGTTACGCAAATGGCTGCCTGGAAGATGGAAAAATAGTGTTTGGGAGTCCAGGGGAGTGGTACCTAACGCACATTATTACTAGTATTTATCATTACACATTCTTGATGTCCAGTACCAAAGCCTACAGGGACTGTCAGTTGGTTGAAAATGTTCAAAGGAGGGCCACCAGACTGGTGCCTGCACTTCGGCATCTCAACTACCCTGAGAGATTGGAGCGCCTGAACTTGCCTAGCTTATACTACCTAACTGAGGCGTATAAGCATCTCAAGGGGCACTACTCAGTCGAGTGTCCTTACTTGGAGCTGGCGGACGCTCGCCCCACAAGGGGTCACAGCTCTAGATTGAAGAAGCCGCAAGTCCAAAAACTGAGGGTAAACTTTTTCGGAGTGAGGGTTGTAAACTCTTGGAACAATCTGCCAGTGAGTGTTGTGACGACACCGAGTGTGAGCTCTTTCAAGACAAGACTTGACCAACACTGGAGCAGGTTCAGGTACATTCAGGAGCCGGTGCGTGCCCAGTACTTGCCAATAGTGCTTAACAGAGACGTGACCGATCGCCTAAGAGGCTAACGAGCCGATCAGTGGTGAAGAGGATAAAAGAAAAGTAAAAACATCACGAGTGGTTTGTTTCTGCTAAAATCAGACAGACTTCAGTGAGGGTTTTTGTCAATTCGCTGAAGCCAGATGCTGTAGTCTCCCATATTTGTTTTCTTCCACAAATTTAAAACCTTTCTGTTGATCCTTTGCCTGGTGGCTTATTATTATTGGCATAGAAAATGCTTTAGTAAAAACCCTGAAGAAAATAAACCCTAAAATACCTTAATATAAGGATAAAATACTGTTATTTGTTCCTGCTTTAATCTTTCTCTTCTTCTAATTTACTTTTAAACCCTTCTAAAATCTGGACAGCTTACTGACACTCACTGTCAAAAGTAAAAGAAAAAAGAGGCGGGTGTGGCCAGTTGTCAGTGTACTTTACCTGCTGAGCGGTGATGGCTGTGACGCCAAGTACCACAAATACGGCGGCCCTCATCCTGGACCCTCGTGCCTCACCACTCTGTTGACGTATTAACGAGGGTGTGATGGAGCTGACGACGGGGAAGACACTGGGAAGGAAGCTAAGAGCCAACATCATCACCACCGCCCCCAAAGACCCAGCTCGGCCTTACCATCGGCCACTTTCACAACCTGTCCATGTCTTCCACTCCCGGCCATTGTTAACGTTTCCCGTTATGGTCTGACTCCTACAGGTATTTACTTACATTCACTTTATCATAACCGTGGCATATTTATTCAAAGAAAGAAGGTATTTATCTATCTTTATACATACCTGTTATCTCGTCCCTTATCCCATTTAAATTTACGGTTGATCAAGGGAAACAAATTCGAGGTAGGGAGACTGGGAGAGGAATGGGACCCAGTTGAACGCCTTTAAGTTTTCAAGAAAGAAAGTGTTTTTCTCTCTGTTTGACTGTTTATTACAGTATTTTCCCTTCGCCCCCCGGATTTTCTTGCAAAGTTGAATATAAATGTATGCAACAACCTCGACGCAAGGAAGAAGCCTGAGTACAGTAATGGCGCCTTTCTTTTTTATTTTATTTTTGCATATTGTATGTTATATGCTGTAATCATTGTTAGCTAAAGCGAGATGGAAGTAAATGATGAAAGTAGAGCAGAATAAATTACACAAACTAAGATCAAAATAAAGTACAGGTACTGTAGTTTGTATTTTCTTACTAGTCCGTTGTGTAATTAGTCATTTATGTTTTTTTCTAGTCAACCATGTGATAAATTAATTATCATTTGTTTAATAAGTTCAGGATTTGTCTTTCTAAATTATGTTCTGTCATTTACTTGTTATTTTTTTTAGGGCCACATTGAGAATTAGTATGTACTTGCAGTACTTTATGATAAGTCATTTTTAATCATGTTCAGTTTTATTGTGCATGTGAAGAATTCCTTATAAAATCACCCATCAAAATTTATCTAGTTAGGTTACGATGTTATGATAAGTTAGGTTACATTAGATAACGGTGTGATAGGTTATGATAGGTTACCGTATGTTAGTCTAGGTTAGGTCAGATCTCAGTTAGGTCATAGTGCCAGTAACACTGCCATCGTTGTCATAGCTTAAGGAGTAGAGTGGGTGTGGGTCATGGGGTGAACAACAAGAGAAAGTGAGAATACTGAACTAAGTTAAGTGTTTTGTGGTGATAATGATCTGTGGCGTGGAACCACAATGAACTTCCCCAGTGAGGTAATATATGCCATTGTGCCGTGTTGGTGCCACCTTTTTATCAAGATTTCTATCAAGTGTGGCACTATTGCAGGTAAACATAAGGGAAATACGTCAAGGGCAGAATATAGGAAGGTGAGGTAGAGAACCTCTCAAGTGACTGTAGGGGTCTAACGTAACATTAATTAACCAGCGCTTAACTAATCTAGACTAACCCCAGTTAACCTAATGTAATCTTTATTAACATAAGCTAATGTAACATTTTCTATCTTTAATTAACCCAACCTTAGCTAAATTAACCAGAGTTGGTGGGGTTTTGTTACATTTATTGTTATTTTGTTGATAAAACTGTTAACTACAGCAATACAGTATTGTTGTTGGTATTGTGACCATTTAACTTATAACACTGTCAGGTGTTTGTGACGGCGGCAGCTTTGTTACGGGTAATATTCTTATACAAAGCTTTGAGATTGTGCACTCATACTAAACTTGTCGATGGACTTTACGTTATATTTTGCATCATGGCGACCTGTGGTATAATGGTCAGCATGTTCGCCTCGCAAGCAGGCGGACCCGGGTTCGATTTCCGGGCAAGGCGAAAGTATAGGCAAGTTTTATGACGCCATTGCCTTTGTCTACCCGTCAGTAATAAAGGCTAGTCTCCTTAACATTATAATTTCCCTTCCTACTTAGCCACATACAGTAAATATAATCTGAAATTAGCATGATCATTGTATTCTTATCCTTATTATCACTACAGTTAATATTAAACATTAGGAAATGCAGAAATAATTTGCCATTGACATTGCGGACTGTATTCAGGAGATTTTTAAACTATTTAACCCTTGAGAATAGGTGATCCCAAGCCAGAAATAAGAACACTTGCACATTCTTCATAAGAAAAGTTTTACTGTGCTATAATTTATAAGCGTGTTAATATTAGGTATTTCTAGGGTGTGTTCCTGGCCTGGTGAAACACAGTTGTCTCTCAGGAATAATACTAGGAATTGTTCAAGTCAAAAGGGAGGAAATAACAAGTGTCTTGGTCAAACTTTACTCAAGGGCCCGAAACAAACCCGTGTTCTACTTATTGTCAGATATACATAGTCACGTTTTCAGTGTCATGAAAGGTTGCATTAATCGGTTGTGACAGTTACTCAGTCAAAACAACATAAACGACATATTAACAATTCTTAGTATTAAACTAAACATGTGTAAATGTTACCTATATATATATATATATATATATATATATATATATATATATATATATATATATATATATATATATATATATATATATATATATATATATATATATATATATAGGTAACATTTACACATATATATATATATATGCACGTACACATAATTCAGACAGTAGATTAATTAATTTCTATTTGTTTATGACGTTCTCTCTCGTTAAGTTACAAGGATAACATGATAGTTCTCACGGTGGGAAAACAACAGTTTATTTTCATCAAGTGTTGAGGTTTTTGGTTTGGATCAGAAGCTGAGATGGACAAAGGATCGGACAGCTTTACCGCGAGCTGTTGTGGTGCGCGAGGCTCACTTGTCTCGCCGCCCCGCCACCTATAGTTCACCACTTAGACGCTGGGTCGCCGCTCACAATCACCTACTCCGGCAGTGTAGCCAACCTGGAGCGGAGTCGTGCGATAATGGCATAAATTTGTTCATCTAGCCACCAGTGCGACACATTGACGTATTTTCTGGTAAGACTGGTGTAAATCATAAATTAAAAAAATTATTATTCAGCACCGTAATGAAGTGTACAAGGCGGTAACTAAGGACCTTACTATTGTGTAGATGTAAGGCACTGCATATATCTTAACCAAGTATATTTAAACACATTATATAGGTACAGTATTAACACAGGACATATCGCCGCCACTTAGTTTCAACAACCATGACGTGATTATAACAAAAAAATTTCCTATACTTCCACATGTTATATAAGAATTATTAAAAAAAATCAAGGAAACTTTTAAGCCCTCGAGTATTTGAATCAATGTAGGGAGTACCGGTACTTGAATTAAAATTATATTAATATAGAAAAAAATGCTGATCTCGGTAATTAAGATACAACGTTATATGACAATGGCCACTATTGGTCCTCTGCTTCCTCTCTCGTATCTCCTCCATAACCCCGGTTCTCTACTTTTAATGTCTCCCCATATCCTTCCATAGGGCTTCTTAATTCACCGTCAAACGTCCTATTTATTACCTCCAATAATCTCTCTCTTAATAACTTACCGGCAGCCTTCATTGAGTTTAATGTATTTCCTTGACATTTTTAAAGTCATTTTCGTTATTATTGAAACTCATTATAATTCATACGAACAAGTTGTATTTGTTTATGAACGAAAATTACTAAGCACAAATTTTTTTTTTATTCAGGAAATCTATGTAAGAATAGGTCATAGCACCTGTGTTAGTGTAGGCAGAACAAGATAACAAACAGTATTCAAAGTGAGAGGAAAATGACGCAGTACAACCAAACACACTTGTCAAGTAATTATTAAGAGCTAAAAAATAACTAATCTTATCATGAGTATGAGACATGAACGCAAGCTTGCTAGTGAAACTGGTCATGGAGACTTGTGTGACAATGAACTTTTATGTGTATGCGTGTAGAGACGTTAATAGTACGTTTATGAACTTGAATGTATGTGTGAAGATGTTCATGATTATACTGATTCTGTAGGCACATAAATTATTGCCGTGTCAATATGTGTTACATATCTCTCAACACACTTATATCATTTATTATACTGTACATGTGTAAGTTTAGGTGTTCAAAGTTAATATGGAGCTGTTTTTAGCCTCCACCCCCCTACACACACACACACACACCTGATAAGTATCAAAGGTACATTAAAATGCTCTTCTAAATGCAGCCGTAAAAATTTAACTGACATGTTCTTTGCTACTCGGATCATGAAATTTTGATGTGAAAGTCGCTCTTCATTTACACGTCTATACCTGTACTCTGTTGCCTATACTGTACCTTTATTGTTATATTTTATATTTTTTGACTTTATCCTCTTCACAACTTGTCAGCCAACTAGATGGTCTCTTCTGTGTCGGGTTAGGTTAGATTAGATTTGGCTTGGTTATGTTATGTTAGCACTAGGTTAGGTTAGATTAAATTTGGTTTGGATAGGTTAGCGTTAGGTTGATTAAATCATAGTGAAATAAGCTGAGGTGGACTAATCTTCAGGTGACCCCATAGTTTGGTTCTATACTTCTCATTCTTCTTCATACTTGTTTCACCTTACCATGACTAGTACTATACAGTACACACCTCCAGTACTACATCAAGGCTCCTATGATCCAAGTATTGTTCTTTGGTGTCTTCTCTCCCTTCCTCCTGTCTCAACTTTTATATTTTTTATTTAAATGTCGCAGGTAAAGACCAGCATCATTCTCATTTTTTTTTTTACTTAGGTGTTTTCTTGTCAATAGATGAAGGTCTTTGATTTAGGGAGGATGATTTGAGACGCTCCGGGCGAGAAGAAGGCGATACCTGCTTAATTAAGATGTGTTTAATATATGCCATTATAATTTTCAAACCCATATACTGTATACTTTAACTGCTTTTGGGTGTTGTATTTTATTTTATTTGTTCGTTTTTTGTGGTTTCTTGACTCTCACCTTGCTGTAGTTCTGATTTCCCCTATATTTTTCATGCTATTTAGAAAAAATTAAATAAACAGCAGACCCCCGCCTCCGCCCCCCCCCCCTCCCCTCCCCTCCGAGTGAGTGAAATATTTATGTATACCTTCATCTTGACTCTGAGGTCTTATGTTCAGACACTTTATTTTAGCTTGAAATATCTAGATTATAGTGTTTTTATACTAGAATTATTAATCACCCCGGTTCAGTTCACCTGAG